AAACAAAACACAAAAAACTTCTATGATTAAAAAAACATGATTCAAAAAATTGCCCCAGAAAATCTGCCCAACTGAGATGAGCTTGGCAGTTCAGTTACAAGAACAATATTCCTGGAATAACATAATATTTGATTAAATCTGGAATTACTGTGAAAAATTAGCCAGTTTGGGAGTTTCATTTTTTTCTAGTGTTGGCCTAAATTAATATCCACAGGCCTCTTGTGGGAAGGTGCTACGCCATCTGGTGGTGAGAGACACTCAGCTGGTTTCTATGGAAAAGGCCAGCAGGACAGAGAGAAAATGGAGTGTCTTTCTTTACTCATAGGTTTAGGAAACCTGTCTCCTTGCATTCTAGCCACATACTGTCCTTAAGGACTGAATTCGAAGTGATGATTTTATACTCAATGAATGCCAATATCTGGGGAATCTTAGGCCAAGATGGACTAAGAAAGTTAATAATGTAGGGATGAAGGTGACAGTTGAGGTTGGGTCAAAGCTGAGGTGAGGAAACTTGTCCCTAACAAGATGAATGCCAAGGGAAACCTAGAGGGCCATTTGAACTATTAACAGGAGAAATTGTGTCTTGTCACTGTGACAAGGTGGGAGCAGAAAAAGCTCTAAGTGGAACTCCTGGGTCATGGATTGCTGGCTGATGCCCAGACAGTGCACCAGTAATTTGGATCCCTGGAAATGCCTCTGTTTTTAAAATTAATTTCAAACATTAAAGGACATTTTTCTTAATGTAGAAATCTGTGTAAAAAATATGACAAATATCCATAAAGTGAAAAGAATATCACTGGAAATATGTCAATATTATGCTGACCATAGCTGATATTTTGGTGTATTTCCTTCAGGTAATTCTATGCATATAAGCACGTAGAGTGGAATGTTAATTGTACACTAATTGTTGTAATTAAATCTACTCCTTTATAATTTGCTTTGTGCAACAGATATCTAGAAGGTTTTTCATCTTAGAAAACTTAAACTATACCTATTGAACAACTCCCCACTTTCCCTTCCAACCTCATGCTTGCTAAACATTCTTCTACTTTCTGTCTCTATGAATTTAACTAGCTTTTGTGAGTGGTTTATTTCACTTAACATAATGTCCCAAAGGAAGGATCATCCATGTTGTAGCATGAGTCAGGTTTTCTTTCCTTCCTTTTTTTTTTTTAGACAATGTCTCACTGTATACCCCAGGCTGGCTGCAAACTCAGGATTTCCTTTTTTTTTTTTAAGGCTGAATATTATTCCATTGTATGAACATATCATATTTTGCTTATCTAATATCTGTCAATGGATATGAGTTTCCTCTGCTTCTTGACCACTGTGGAATAATCCTGCTATGAACATGGCTTTTCATATATCTCCTCAAGATCCTGTTTTCAGTTTTTTCAGATATATAGCACTATGCTTGGATGTGTACTCCAAAATTCTATGTGATGGAAGTTTGCTCCCCAGGATGGAAGCATTGGGAGATGATATGGAACCTTTAGGAGGTGAGGCTTAGTGAAAGGTCTTGGGAGTTGTTGAGAGAGGATTATGAAGATTATTAAAGAGCATGAGCCTAGTCCCATGCAGCTCTGTGGCTTTCTGTTCTCTTGCGTGCCATCTTACCATTGTCATTCGCCATTGCCATCCCTCATATGATATAACACAGTCAAGAAGGCCCTCACCAGAGTTAGCCAATGCTAACATGTTCTTGAACTGTTAAAACAGTGAGTTAAATAACCTATTTTTGTTGTAAAGTTAGTTTGCTCCAGGTACTACATTGTAACAATGAAAAGCTGACTAATACATATATCCAAACATAGGTTTGTTGCATCATATAATTCAAGTTTTAATTGTTTGAAGAATCTCCCTACTGTTTTCCATAGGAGCTCATTGTAGTTTTGATTTGCATTACTCTACAGATTCATGAGATTGTAAGTTTGTTGGCTATTCATGTGTTTGTAGGATATTGTGTATCTTCTGAAATGTCTAAATCCTTTACCCCTTTAAAAAATCTGGTTATTCTGTTGTTGTTAAGTTGTAGAAGTTTTTAATATGCTCTGGATATAAATTCCTTATCAGATAAACGATTTGCAAATATTTTCTCACGTTCAATATGCTGCCTTCTCACTTCGTTGATTATACCCTTTAATGAGCATAAATTTTAAAGTTTGATGTAGTCCCATTTGTCTATTTTTGCTTTTGTTGCCTGTGTTTTTGGCATCATATTCTAGCAATAATCGCCAAATCCAATGCCATGAAGATTTTCCTCCATGTTTTAATATAGAAGTTTTATGGCTTTAAAGACTTATTGTTTAAGTCTTTAATTCATTTTGAGTTAATTTCTGCATATGATGTAAGATAAGGATCCAGTGTCATGCTTTTGCATGTGGATATCCAATTTTCCCAACATCACTTGTTGAAGAAACTGTCCTTTATACGTTGTGCTGCCTTGGTACCCTTGGAGATGATTTGACCATATGAGTGAGGATTTATTTCTGAGCTCTCTATTTAATTCCATTGATCGCTATCCTTTACGTACTGGTATTACACTGTCTTGATTATAGTAAAACTGAGAAAGGTTATCTTTTTCTACATTTACTGGCTATTTTTAACCCCTGTTAATTGCCTATGTCTCTCTAGCAATTTTGCTATTGTATTGTTTGATTTATCATTGTAATTTTGTAGGAATGCATGAATCTGTTTATTAATCCATTGATCCCATCAATAAATATTTTGTCACTTATTTTGTGGCAGGTACTGTTCTGGGTGGTTGGGGATGGGTACAGCAAAGAATTAAACAAATCACAATTAGTTGGGGGGTTGCAGAGAGTAATCAGCCACCTTGTAAGGTGGAGACAAGTGCTATCTTCTAAAAAAGCAGGTAGTAAGATCAAGAATGTAAAAGATGCTATTTTATTTAGGCGCTCAGGAAATCTCTGTCTTTGAGCAGAAAGCTAGAATGAGAAAGCAAGCCATTTGGAGAGCTGCTTAGGATTGAGAACTTGAGGCAAAGGGGAAAGTAAATTCTTCATAAATTCTGAATAATAAATTTTTCCTGAAATGTCATGTGTCTTCTATGGTTGTTTATGCTGTCTTGTACAGAAAGTTATCCTATTGTTGAGGTCAATTTTATTAATCTTCTATTTATGGTTCTAGATTTTATTTAATTTTGGTGGTGTGGGGTTTGAATTAAGGGTCTCATGCTTGCTAGGTAGGCACTTTACCACTTGAGCCACTCTGCCATTCCTTTTTTGTATTAGATATTTTCCAGATAGGATATCAGGAACTATTTGCCTGTACTGGCTTTGAGGCTCTATCTTCCTGATCACTGCCTCCCAGAGGTAGGATTACAAGTGTGAGCCACCAGCACCCAGCTAGATTTCATTCTAAAGAAGACCCTTTCTACCCCCAAATGACAAAAGTATTCACTTCAATTTGATTCCAACAGTTTTATTGAGATATAATTTACATATCATAAAATTCACCCATTTTGGTGTACAATCCAGTGATTTTGAATAAATTGATGTAGTTGTGTCACCATCACTGTAATACAGTTTTAGACTTATACGTTGATTTTATGTTTAGTTTTTAACATGTCTTATTCATTTTAGCTTTTGTTAGGGAGTTAGAGATCTAACATTATTGTTATTTTCTTCTTTTCCCATTGACTTGAAGTATTTCTTTTACCACATGCTAAACGTACATGGATACAATCTATTTCTGTTCTCCCTCTTGTTAGTTTTTTTTTTTTTTTGTGGTACTGGGGTTTGAACTCAGGGCCTCAGGTTTGCTAGACAGGCACTCTACAACTTAAGCCACTCCACCAGTACTCTACTCTTCCTCTTCCAGCAATCATAGATGGCATTTTATTTGGCCCATACAGATTTTCAGAATTGAGCAATTTCATATAAAAATGCATATTTTTGGCTTTTTTTTTAAAACATGAAGGTCCAACAACTATATATTTGAGGTGCGTAAAGACGTTGCCTTTTAATGGGCATGGTAACCATAGTCTTAGTTTGCATGGGACGGTGCCCGTATATATCTATTGTTCTGGTGCATTATGTCCTTTCAGTCTTAAAGGTGTTCTGGTTTGGGCGATAAATTACATCCACCTTTGTTGCGAGTCACAATCTTTACCATATATCCTAATTTATCATACTCAACACTCCTTTCATTTGTTACAAGTTGCCTCCTAGGAAAGGAAAAGGAGAGGAGCCAACACCAGCCTCCTCTGAGATTTGTCAAAAGGAGAAGTATGTGGGCTTAGAGTAGAGAACATATTATCTTGTGGGGAGAAATTAGGACAGGGTGCCATCTTACAGATGATGTCACAATTTGCTAATCCTTTTCCCTTCTATGATTTCAATTAACTTCACAACAACCCATCCAGCTCCACGCCTTATTTAGGTTGTCATTGTGTCTTTATTTGTGCATAGATTTTCTGTCATTCCTCGTAAACCTCATTCCATAACAGGATTCTAGACCGATCTGTTTCCCACTGCCCTGCCCAACCCCAACCCCAGCCACCCCTCGGCGTCAGGCCCCTTAGCAACTATTGACTGGTCCGGCTCCCAAAAACTAAAGACTGAATGGACTAAGGAGGAAAACGAGGCGCAGGGGCAGAGTGTGGTGACTTGGTTGAGGTCCGCGGCTAGTCGAGGGCAGAGAGAAACAGGCAGAAATCAGATTCAAGGGCCTAACTCCTGACCTAGATTCTAGGATCTTTTACTGGCTAGTTGGCTGCATCCTCCCCAAATGAGCGAGAAATAGGAAAGTGCACACGCAGGGACTCCTCTTCCACCTGGTGGAACCTCGGGGTTGGGGAGGAGGATGCTGGACGTAGAGTCAGGAAAATCAAGCGGTACAGAAAACATCTGTCTGCCACCTGCCCGGGCTCCGAAAAAAAAAGACTACATTTCCCAGCAGCCCCCGGGGCACGTAAGGTCCTTGCCACGAGGCTTGCGCCTCCGCCGTCAGCCCACTGGGGGCGCTGCGTCGAGCCCTCCGCCGCCCCGTAGAAATCTACGCGGCCCCGGGGCCGCTTGCTTCCTGTTTGTCGGACGAGGAGACATGGCGGCGGCGCCGGCGGCTGGTGCTGGGGCCGGCCGAGGGAGACGGTCGGCAGCTACGGTGGCAGCGTGGGGCGGATGGGGCGGCCGCCCTCGGCCCGGAAACATTCTGCTGCAGCTGCGGCAGGGCCAGCTGACCGGCCGGGGTCTGGTCCGGGCGGTGCAGGTACCAGGCCGGCCAGGAGGGGCGGGGCGGACCGGGCGAGAGCTGGCGGGGGGGTGGGGTGGTGGGGGGACGGGGAAGAGGCCTTTCCAGGTCGCCACAGGACCGCCCAGACCCCCCCTTGGCCGGCTTCAGGGCTTCCTTATGGGCTGCCCGAACGCTGTCAGTCGCGGCGGGACCGTGGGCAGCGTTGGGCCGAGGCCCTCCTGGTCACGGGCCGAGCGAGATCTGACTGCTGTGGGCATTGATGGCGTGTACGATCTCTGGGCCCAGTTTCTGGATCCTCCCTTCCCTTTGCCACGTCTACACGTCTGGGGGACCTTAGCGAGTTGACTTTATCCTCTACGTGCCTCCAGTTTTTCCCTTGTGAATTTGACTAGGGTCCTCATTGCAGCCCCTCAAACGGTCCCCAAGCGTATCGTAAATGTCATTTTCTTAAAGAGACCATTCCTTGACTGTTCTCCTTCCCGGGTTCTACAGTAGGTCCTCATTGTTATTCTGTCAAAGCCCCGCATTCGTTTCGTTCTCATTACTTTCTCAATCTGTAATTACATATTTCTTTGTTGTCTGGCCTTTTCTTGCCTGTCTCCCACATTAGGCTGAGCTCCAACGGGCGCACAGACTGTTTTGCCAGTGTAGAGCGTCACAGTTCGGAGAGAGGCCTCCAGGCAGGCCTGGGTTCAAAGCCTTGCTCTCTTTTTTGCTTGGGCAAGTTGCCTTTCAGTGCCTTACTTTGTTCACTTGTAAGAAGGGATGAGAATTGGTAACTTACCTTTTAAGGTGGTTGTGAAATTCAAAGGAAACAGTTGTGTAAAATGTTGATGTGTTTGTGGTACATAGTAAGGGCTTAAGGTTAATCATTTAATGCTATACTTAGTGTTTGGCTTTTTAATAGGTGCCCAATATATGGTCAGTATTGTTTTGGGTGAGTGAAGGACACTAGCATGCTGAATAAAACATAGTCTCTTCATTCTTCCTCCAGGCCCATGGTCCCAGAAGTTACATTGCAAACGCACCTGTAAAACATTGTCTTAATCTAAACAAAACTTTTGCATAAAGTTTTGAAGGTATGCAAGAAAGTAATACAGTGATTGATGAGAGAGGGGTGAGAATTGGGTGAATGGAGGAGAGAATGGGAGTGAGACTTCACAGTACAACTTTGCACAGTTTAATTTGAGTTATTTGAATATTACTCAAATGATTGAAAAGATAGAATAAAATAAAGGCTAGGCCATATGTATTTGTGGAGGAATTCAGATGAAGGAGTGCTTCTTCTGGGTGAGATATGTTTTCTTGGCCATCAGACAACCATAGATGAGCAACCTTTTCTCCTTGCATTCCTCTCTATCTGCATTAAGATGATCCTGAAAATACTTGCTCTTTTCTTTAATCCAGAATATTTCACTGAGCTGGGTATGTAGGGACAGACAGAAAGGGAACTAACAATGCTTTGATGAGCATATACTTTGGATCAGGCATTATGCAGGTATACAATATCTTTTTTTAATCCTCAATCGTTTGGGCTACTGTGAGAATCATATCTTAACAAAGCCAAACTCATGCTAAGAAAGGTTAAGTAATATAATCCTAAACAGTCCTCCAGATAATCTGTGTATTAAGAACAATAAGGAGCTATAGAAGTTTTTGTTATGGTGGTACTGGGGTTTGAACTCAGGATCTTATGCCATAGAAGTTCTTTAGCATGATGAATGAGGCAGTTTAGGAAACTAAATTTGTTTCCATTGCTAAAGATTTAGGATAGGAGGAAACTAGAGAAGCTTACCATATTAGAAGGCTACTGGAATTTTTGTTGTTGTTGGCACTGGGGTTTGAACTCAGGGCCTCACACTTGCTAGATAGGCTCTCTTACCTCTTGAGCCACTTTGGTAGCCCTATTTTTGTGTGTGGTTTTGCCTGGTTATTGTGGTAACTGATTGTTGTGTATTGGTTTGAGAGCTATTTCAGAAGTTGATATAACAACCCCTGCTCAGAACTATAGTGAGGATACGTAAGGGAATCTTCAGCTTTCATGTTTCTTTACTTAGTTACTTTCTTTGACCTGTTTGTAGTCACACTTCCCTCTCTCATCTGCAGAATGAATTATTTGCTCACCTGTATTTCCATGGCACAGTAAACATATCCGTTATGGCATGTGGTATAGGAAAATAACCAGGTTTTAAGATTTTTTAAGTGTAAATATATATATGCTGTATATATTTATGTATATTATATATTTATATATTGTATATATTTGTATTAAGATTGTTTTGTCTCAAATCTCTAGAACTTTTTCATCTTGCAAATCTGAAATTGTATATCCACTGAACAATTCCCCATTTTCCCCCTCCCTCAGTCCCTAGTAACCATCCTTCTTTCTGTTTCTGTGAGTTTGACTACTTTATTATTTTATTTATTTGCAGTACTGGAATTTGAACTCAGGGCCTCACGCTTGCTAGGTAGGCACTCTATCATTTGAGCTATTCTGCCAGCCCATTTTTGTGTTGGGTATTTTTGAGATAGTATGTCTGGAACTCGTTGCCCTGGGCTGGCCTGGAACTTCAATCCTCCTGATCTCTTCCTCCCAGGTAGCTAAGATTATAGACTTGAGCCACTGGTATCCAGCTGGGTTTTTTTTTTTTGTGTGTAGCAGGCTTTTGCTGTGTAGCCCAGGCTAGCCTTAGAACTAGTGATCCTCCTATCTCAGCTTCCCTAGTGCTGGGATTACAGATGTGTACCACACCTGATCAGTTTTGACTACTGTCCATATAAGTGGAATTGTGCATTTGTCTTTTTGTAATTGGTTTATTTCACTTAGCATAATGTGTTCAAGCTTTATCCATGTAGTAGCATTCGATGGAATATTCTTGGAAAAGACCAGATTTCTTAAGTAAGATGGACAAGAGTTGAACCCTAGTCACTTGCTAGTTGAGTGACCCTAGGTTAAGTTACTTAATCTCATCAAATTTCAGTTTCCTTATTTTGAAAATGGTGATAATAACATCTACCTCATATGGTTGTTAGAAGAATTAAGTAAAATAATATGTTTTAAAAAACTTAGTGTAGCACATATTAAATATTTAGTAAATAGTTGTTCTCAGCTAGTAATTATTAGACTGGGAGGATATTTTATTTTTCTTTGTATTTGCAGAGCTTGGAACCATGCCTCACACTTGATACTAAGGACAGGAAACTGCTTGAATTGGAATTCTGCATAGTCCTGTGTCTTTCTCTACTTAACTCCCCAGCAATACCATGGCTTTAAAGAGTTCCAGAGTCAGGTTGCCAAAGATACTTGATTTGTGTCTTTAGGCGAGCTATTTAATGTCTTTATGCCTCAGTTTCTTCACTTGTGAAATAAAGATAATCATAGGACCTAATTTCCTAAGGTGCTATGCAGGGACCAATTGAGTATACACATAAAGCGCTTCAAATGGTGACTGAAATGTGTAAGTACGCTATATAGATTATTCATCTTGTTTTTCTTTCTTTTTTGTTTTGGCGGTACTGGGGTTTGAACTCGGCCTCACGCTTGCTAGGCAGGCGCTCTACCACTTGAGCCACTCTGGCAGTCCCTACATATTTATTCATAAATATGTTCTGATGGATCCTAAGTCTGTATTTCCATTGCTGATCTCTTCCTTTAGCTTCAGATGTGTAGGTATATTATATCCAACTGCCTTCTCAGCATTTCCATATAGATACCTGATGTACAACTCAAACTTAATATGTTGAAAACGAAAATCCTGATTCTTCTTCCACCAAATCTGATCTTCCCCAGGTCTTCCCCATATCACAAAATGGAACATAAGGGAAGCCTGGGAGAAGACTATAGGCCACATGATTTAGAATGGGCCTATCCTACTTGGATTGTAGTTTGTCTTATTTTTTTTCCCTTCCTTTCATTCCACCCTCTGTCAAGGTAGTACAATATGTTGGAATGATACTTGGGAGTTTATCCAGCCTCACATTCATTAGCACATTTGATCCTCAGGACAAATCAGGTCTTATAAATCTCTTGCTTAAACCTCTCCAACTACTTCCCATTGGAGTTAGAATCAATGGGATTCCTTACCATGGCCGTACAAGGCCCTGTGTCATCAGTAGGAGTTGAGGGAAAGGATAGAGTAGGTAAATCCTGGGCACTAGGGCAGTGCAGCTCACACTACAAGTTGTGACCCACCATCTCCAGATACTCTTCAGTTTGGCAGTTTGGTGATGGGCTGGGTTATGGGAGCCCTTGTCTGTTTCCCAAATGCTAGCCGTCACATCCTTTATGATTATTTGCGTATCTGGATTTCACCTGTTTTTTAACTTCACATATTTTTCTTCAGATGGATTCACTTTTTTTTTCCATTTTCTTTTTATAGTGCTGGGAATTGAACCCAGGGTCTGGCACATGCTAGGCAAGTACTCTACCACTGAACTATATTCTGAGTCCCATATTTTTTTCCCTTAATTTCAATAGGCATTGTTTGTTTTAGCCTTATTCTAAGCATTAGTGTTTGTAAAACCTAGGGATTTAAGTCCAATAAGCTTTCCCTTGTTTGTCAAGGGCAATTTGTTACTGAAAAAACTGTGGATAGGGTAAATTTACATAAATATATAAATACTGTTTATATACAGGAAGTATTTATATGCACTAGCCCTAAAATTAACTCCTAGTTATATTGAAACAACATAGACACCATTAAAGTGTACGTAAGTATTCAATGGTGAACATTTGTTGTCAGAATAACATAGCAAGATATTTAATTTTCATTAATAATCCTTTAAGATGTCTGTTTACTTGTACTAAGTTTGATATTTTGGGACATAATATAACTTACATTTAGGATTAAACCAATAAGATATACATTTGTCTTTATGGAATGCATCCTTTAATTATTTGTAAAGAATGGTGGTAAAGACAATAAATCAATGAAAACTGGGAATGTCATATTTCCAAGAGAAAAACCCATATGACACCTGCCAGTAATTCAGCTGTGAAGGTGACTGGGTAGTGG